CCAAGGCATTACTTTTTCAAGCTAATCTTCCCCTACGATTTTGGGAGAGGGTGTCCTTATTGTGCCTACATTATTAATTGACTTCCCACTCCAATCCTTGCCAAGAAAACACACTTTGAGAAACTATATCACAAACCTCCATCTTACACCCATATGAATGTTTTTGGGTGTCTTGCATATGCCACTTCTGTTCACCCCACTTTTAAATTTTCGCCCTGCGCCATCAAAAGTATCTTTCTTGGTTATCTCGCTGGACGGAAAGCTTATCGTTGATACGATTTGGACACCAAGTTTTTTTTTTACTAATCGTGATGTTGTTTTCTTTGAAGAAATTTTTCCCTTTCAGACCACCACTCATGACCAACCCGTGGCCACCAATACCTATGCTCCAAATCTAACTACAAAAGTTCCTCTTTTCCTCCCAATATCAGACCTGTATTGTTTCTTCTCATCTATCCATGTCTGACACGCCTCCTTCTTCCTCAACTATTCCAACACATGCTCTTTTAGCCTCATCCGCTCCTTCAATTACATCGTCTCCTTCAGCATCACCCTCTCTTACTTCAGAATCCTCTCATACTTCATAATCTTCTCCTTCACCAACCAATCTTATCCCTCTACCTTTAGACAATTTTCCTTCTTTCCTATGCCACCCATTTTTGTCCCTTCTCCTACTTCATTTGAGTCCCCAGAACCACCATATGCATGACCTTTTCGCCAATCACAACGCCAAAACAACCTTTCGTTCTTCTCAAGACTTTGTCTGCTCGCAGGTGACTTTGCCCCCAGACCCTTCGTCTTCACAGTCGCTTAGCCATTCACCAGGTACTCGTTATCCTCTTTGTAATTTTGTTTCTTACCATCAATGCACACCCAAGCATTTATCATTTATTGTCAATATTAGTAGGGATATCGAACCAACCTCTTTTGCAGAAGCAAAATCACATGTTCACTGGTAATAGGTGATGAACGCCGAACTTAAGGCTCTCTAATCTAATCATACATGGACCTTCACTTCCTTTCCACTGTGCAAACATCCAATTGATTGTAAGTGGGTCTATAAAATTAAGCGTCATTCAGATGGTTCCATTGAGCGTTACAAAGCTCGACTTGTCACCAAAGGTTTCACTTAAACCGAAATCATTGATTACCATGACACATTCTCACCCACAACGAAAATGATTACTGTGCGCTGCATTCTTTCCATTTCCTCTGCTCGTAACTGACCCCTTAATCAACTCGACGTCAACAATGCATTCCTTCATGGCGACCTTCTTGAAGAAATTTACATGACACCTTTTCTGGGACTTCGGTGATAGGGGGAAAACCTAGTGTGTTGCCTCAACAAGTCCTTGTATGGCCTCAAACAAGCCTTACATCAATGGTTTGCTAAGTTCACTGAAGTTGTTCAAGTGGCTAGTTTCGTTCAGTTGAAAGCTGATTATTCTCTTTTCACTTGTAGGAGAGGTAAATCATTTACTGCTCTATTGATTTATGTCGATGATATATTGATTACTGGCAATGATGAAAATGCAATCAGTTCCCTAAAAAAATTAAAAATTTCTTCATTCCTAATTTCGTATTAAGGATCTTGGTGATCTCAAATATTTCTTGGGCATTGAAGTTTCTTGTTCAAAGAAAGGCATTTATATTTCTCAATGAAAATATGCTCTTGATATTATTAAAGATGAAGGTATATTAGGTGCCCGACTTATTTCATTCCTAATGGAGCAAAGAACTTAGTTGTCTGATACAGGTGAATTGCTAAATGACCCATCTCAGTTTAGACGGTTGGTAGGTCGTTTGATCTACCTTACCATCACATGGCCTGATATTATATATGATGTACATGTCCTCAGTCGATTTATGCATGAGCCTCGTCGACCACATATGAAGGCTGGCCTTCACATACTCAGATACCTCAAAAGTGCTCCTGGCTAAGGCCTTTTATTTCCAGCTGAGAATACATTAAAGTTGAGTGTTTTTTGTGACTCTGACTAGGGCGGGTTGTCCCATCACTCGAAGGTCTACCACTGGATATTGTGTATTTCTTGGAAATTCCTTGATTTCATGGAGAACGAAGAGACAAAAAACTGTCTCACTCTCTTCGGCAGAAGCTGAATATAGTGCGATGACAGGAGCATGCTGTGAACTCACCTGGCTGCGGGGTTTGTTGCGTGACCTGCAGTTACCACATCCAGAAGCCTCATTACTTCATTGTGACAATAACGCTGCACTACATATAGCTGCGAATCTGGTCTTTCATGAGCGAACACTACATATTGAAATAGATTGTCATTTCATAAAATAAAAGATGGATCGATCATTACCAAGTATGTCACCTCCTTGCAGCAACTAGCAGATGTTTTCACAAAGCCTTTGGGTAAGGATTCCTTTTCAGTCATGATTCGCAAGTTGGGAGTTCTTGACATCCATTCTCCAACTTGAGGGGGAGTGTTAGAAAGCAATCAGGATCCCTATCATAAAGGGCCTAGAATAGGCGTGTAATCAGTAATTAATATGTATATATTTCCTTCCGTTCTTGTATAGTAGAATTGCAGGATCAGCTGCTTGTTTATAAGGAACTCTCTGTATAAAGTTAGTAGACTAATATCAATACCATTATTCTGGCCAATTCTATTCCTCAGTCATTTGATTAGATTTTACAGATTTTGGGGCACTCCACTTCCACTGTGGATTAGTGAAGGACGGTGAAGGAATTGTTGTTATGGATTGTATTCGGAGGCTTGAAGAGCTTTCTGGTGTTAAGATTTTTGATCTGCACTGCCGCAATATTGATCACATTACTATTTCCTCAAGCCGAGGTCCCGAAAATGGTGCTCTTCAACATATACACTGTGTTTGATTGTTGGTTTGAGAGTGGGTTCATGCCTTATGCTTATATCCACTATCCTTTTTTTGAGAATGTTGAACTTTTTGAGAAAAAATTCTGTGGCCATTTTGTGGCTGAGGGGCTAGATCAGACTCGTAGATAGTTCTACACTTACGGTGTTATCTACAGCATTATTTGGGAAACCTACTTTTAGGAACCTCATTTGCAATGGACTTGTCCTTGCTGAGGATGGGAAAAAAATGAGTAAAAGTTTGAAAAACTATGCTTCACCAAGGGAAGTTATCGATGACCATGGGACTGATGCACTACGACTATACCTCATTAACTCTCCTGTTGTGCGTGCGGAGCCCTTATGTTTCAAGAAGGAAGGAGTTTTTGGTGTTGTCAAGGATGTATTTTTTTCCTTGGCATATCAGTTCCTTGTTCATTATGCAAAATTTGGCCTAGTAACTCTTTTAGGAGCCCTTTGAAAATACGTTTGTAAAAGGGAATTATTATTGATCTTAAAACAAACATCCTAAAATTAGTGAAATTACAAAAATACCATTTTAGTTTCGTAAATCGTGGAACAAGTTGTCACATCAACCATTCTTATAATCGTACGACTTAAGACATGGCAAATTAAAATTAATAGTTAGCTCCAATTTAATAACCTCAAGTGAAAATAAAGTGTAATACAAGGAAAACTAAATTTATAGATAAAATTTGTAAACTAAATTATATAAAAGTTGATAATTAGATTATTACTTAAGCGTTGATAAACATGCTCATTTGCTATTAAAAACACATCATTTAGTTTGTAAATTTTATCTACAAATTTAGTTTATTTAGCATTACCTCTATATAAAATTAGAAATAGAAAACAAAACAATACGAAAAGTTCCGAAACCTTCATCCACCCCCAACCTCTACATCACACAATACCCAATCCACACCGCCAACCCTTTCCTCCTGATCGCCACCAACCCCCCCTCCTCTCCCCCTCCCCCTTCTATTTCTCTATTCTTCCTCTTCTCTCTCTCTCTCTCTCTCTCTCTCTACTGGACTACTAATACCACTATTCAAACCAATGAAGTACTGCTGTTAATTTTTGGTTGAAATTGATTTTAAGGACTCAATGATTATATGATTCATAGCAGGAACTACTCTTGCAATTAATTTGTTTAAAAAATAGTTTTATGTTTTCTATTTGGCACACTCATGTATTCTTGCAACTCCTTCTCTACTGTTAATTCGCAGTAGAGTTTTCGCTTGAATTGCATATAGATTCAAACATAGATACCAGATTTTTATGCAGACGACGAATAAGACTTTTAGTTGGTTTTTGCGGCTAACAGGTTTTTTATTTTTCGTTCATTTTTTTGTTAGTTTTTTTACTTAGATAGGAGTTAACTACTAAATTTGGTGTGTATGTCAGAGACTAGTTAATATTGCGGGTAAATGCACGTAATCTAAATCCATAGACTCGGAATCCAGCTTGAATTTTGGTTGAACAAAAGTGCTTAACGCGTTTTCAAATATTAAAACAATGCTTTCAACAGAAACCATCCGTAATTGTTATCAATACTGCAGTTTCACTGGGAAGGAACATTTACTTTTAACCCTTTATGACCTTATCATGTGTGATGTCTATGGTACCCTTACAATTAAGTTTTGTTATAAATCGTTGTTCTACTCATTGATCAGTAGTGTGCAGTCAGCTCCATGATTTATGTTAGTTTGGTGCATAAAATGTAGCACCCAAATCAAAGTCATATTTTGGTTAATTTGATAGAAAATAATTTTAATTTAGCAAATTACATATATGTCAGATACAAAAGCAATTCAAATATTATGTTTAAGATTATATGGTGTCTCTGTTTATTAGAACAAACCGATACAATTAAACAAGCGAAAATGGGATACTCTCGCCTCTAATTAATTTCCTAGCAAGGGAGGGAGGGCTTCATAACCCATATGACATATTTTTGTGCACTGCAACAAAATTAAGCTATGAACAGAGGAAAAGGAAAACCATGTTCCCAAATTTAAGCTATTTACAATATCAAACCATCATGATGGTCGGATTCTAACGGGAGCATGGATAGATAGAAATTCTTAGAGACACTACGAAGTATCTGTAATTTGTTGAGATGGACAATCCTATTTAGTGACGGCTTGGATCCACTCCGGCAGTCTTGAGCGTCTCTGCTGTGCGAGGCCTGTAAGTATCAACCAACAGCTAGCCTTCATTGGCATAATGTCCTAAATATTACAATCCATGACAAACGTTACAATTTGACAACATAATATATTTATGGAAAATGATGAATCTAAATCATTGATCTGTTTAATAATTCTTAACCCAAATTTACAAGAAGTAACAAAACAACATATAACATTTATGTTGCTAGAATTTTGTCTGCCAGTATAAGCATTTTACAATTAGAGTAATTCGTGCGTAAAAAATTACGAGCATGTATGAATGTATGTATACCTAGTAAAAGGGTCATGCTGGACTGAATCAGGCATGGATCGGCTGCTGGGCTCCTGAATTTGGCCAACCTTCCTGAGGAAAGATTTGTTGATAAACTTGTCGGATGAGCTAACGGCAACATCTGGGTTGTCAACCTCTTGCATGGATTCCCTCTTGCTCTTGTCGACCACAACCATCGGGGCATGCATGAGCTGCTGCAGAGCACTGTGCGTCCCAATCGCCACAGGCACCATTATAAACCCTAGCAGCACAGCAACGGGTGTGTTCTGTGGCTATCTAAGAAATTTCCTGGATCGATTGCATGCATAAATTAATTAAAATGCATAACATACAAAATTTCATGATCACTTGTTAAGTATCATCATCAATCATGATGCTTAAGCGCTAGAGTATACATACCAGATGCTTGAGATGGTAGACTGAGCAGCCTCACTATCACGAACGTTTTCTGCAAATTGTTTCATCTTCGGCGCGGCGGAGGTTGCAAAAGGTCGGTTCCCTCCCACCGGAGCCAGCATTAATCTTAATTTGTTCTATACAAACCCACATTAATTCATCATTTTACCAATTAACATTATCATAATTTATATATAACGTAACTAAGGCAATCGAATCAAAACAAAGAGATTATCATGATACAAAGCAAATGATCGAAAAGAAGAATTTTAGTAGACTTACGGTTGCCCAGAAAGGCATTTTCTTTTGTTTCTAAAGTAGTAACTCAACAGTAAACAAAATTCTGGATAAATAATTTGGACGAAATGGTGATGTTTACGTGCATTCTATTCTTTTGGGTGACAAACACGTGCACTTATATAACTAGGGAGGTCGTGGCTTTTGCTTATTCATTGGCAATGGCCAATGAGAATGGCCCACTGCGACTCCTATCTAGACGGTTCTACTCCTATCCAGACGGCTGCAGATGGTGCTATGCTAAGATAGCAAACCCCTACTTGCTATAGTTGGTTTTACCATATGAATCACAAGCTCTGAATGGAAGGCATGCATGTGATATGTATGTCCATCGTTGGTGTCTTTTAAAAGTTTCAAGTTCTGCATGTGACATGCATGTCCATTGTCGTATTGTTTGGATCTAAAATTATTGGGTTGGGCCGAGTATGGAATTGTTCTCGGCCCAGAAGCTCTGTTCGAGCATTGCTACAAACCAGCCGGTTCATGGGCCGCCTAGCTAAAAGTTGGCCAAGCCCTGTTTGGAAAAGAATATTCCAGATGAAGGAAGTTGATGGGCCCTATTGCAAAGCAGATGAATGAAGTGGTTAAGTCCTAGTACAATTTGGATTCTCGACCAACAATGAATATGGCCTCAAAAGGGGGTGAGTTCAAAGTCCTAATAGAAGTGGGATTGGCCGAGATAAGATGGATTGGGGTAAGGAGTCCTAGTTCGAGTATGGTTAGGATTGGGTTTTTGCTGCTATGAATAGAGAAATGAGGGTGCAATTCAGGGACATCCAATTCAACACACAACTACCCTGCGCAAAACCTATCAAACATTTTGAGATTTTTTATTTTCTTTTTCCCACTGACACATCTTCAGTTTGGATAAACAACACTGTGAAGGCAACCGGTGAGCACCTTCAGTTTGGATAAACAGCACTGTTGCCGTAGAATCAGCCGATCGAGGAGCACCTTCAGTTTGGATAAACAATACTGCATCGAGGCTGACTGGTTACCTATCCAAGTCTCAGTCGAGAAGGGTTTCCGAATCCTTATTGGTAGAGGTCATCTTATTAGCCTTTTTGGTGAAGTAGGGTGTTACGAGTTACGAAATTCGGCGTATTGAATGCTGAGTGATTTTATGATTGGATACTCACAAGTGAGTTTCAGAGTTCGGCATTCTGACAGCCGAACCACATTCATCATTAAGACATACATCATCGTTGAATATATGTGTCTGTATAGTCTGGTGTTGATTCGACGTGCTTATACTTTCACGAATATAATCACTGTGACCGAATCCGGCGTCGACGATTTGTGAACTTCGCAGAACTAGCAGCCTTGTCTTCAGGCTCGATAATCCGAAGGCCGAGATTTGTTCATTCCTCGGTCGCAATCGCAAGATAAAGAAGTCAACAACGCGCTCAACGCAACATCAACAAATTTTACTCCTCGGCCGAGCTCGGCCAACAAGTTAGCATGCCCCGCATTCAATCGAAGGACGTAGTTAGCTTATTAGTCACTCGGCTTGCGCGCCACATAGGTTCTGTAATTTTTAGAGTCAACACATATATAGGAAAAGGGATAGTTTAGTTGTGGTCCCTGGTTCCTAATTGTTATAGACTCAAACCTTATACATTTTAGATTTTTAATTGAAGTCTCTCTCCTGCTACATAAATGACAAAATAATAATAATAATAATAATAGAGATGCAATAATACCAATAAAGACTCAACCGTTTTTTTTTTTTGTTGGTTTCATTTACACTACCAATTTAATTATTCAAAATTGCTTATGGGTTATGATAAAAAATAAAAAATAAATAAAAATTGCTTATGTTGCATTCTAGATTATAAAAAAAAAAAAAAGGGATTTTTTTTAATTTTATAAAATGAGTACCTTTATATAATAAAATTTGGCTACATTTTATATATAAAAAATTGGTACATTTACATAAAGACGTGGGTACATTTTATAGAAAACAAAGGTTACATTTTATATTAAAGAAAGGAACATTTTAGATTAAAAAATAAATAAATTTTACATTAAAAAAATGGTTACATTTTTACATAAAAAAAATGGTACTTACAAAAAAATAGGGATACATTTTACGTATCACAAAGTGGTACATTTGTAAAAAGAAAAATGGGTACATTATAAATAAATTATAGGTACAAATAACAGGTTAAAAAAATTATGAGTACAAATAAAAGTTTAAAAAATAAGGGACAAAAAGAAATTAATATATGGGTACAAATTAAAATTTAAAAGAAAATAGGTACATTTAAAAGATGATTGCAAATTAAAAAAGAGTACAAACTAGAAATACAAATACATGATAAAAAGTTTAGCCATAAATATAATATATCAAATGTAACGTTTCTAACACTAAATGAGTATATTTAAAAATAAAACTTAATTATCTTGACATGTAAATATTTTGTTTTTGAATATTTAATGACGTTTATGAAAACCGAAGGACCTTGATCAAAATTTGAAAAGGAATAAAGTTTTAATCAATGGAGTAGAAAAAATAAGGATGGGAACCTAATTTCTCCATAGGAAAATTTGTGGACTTATTTGGAAGTACCTTTAAATAACTGAAAGCGTTTTTAAGTTCTAAAAGCACTTTTAAGTGACTTGAAGTGTTTCAAGATTCCCTTACATTTTTACTAAGGATTGATTCAAAAAATACTTTCATTAAAAATATTTTCAATTATTTTAAAAATACTTCTAAACAAACCCTACGTATAGTTTCGAAAACTACCAAGTTCAGCCCATTCTATTTAAATTGTCATAATATGGGGGCCAAGATATTTATAAGAATATGACCATTTACTGATTTACATTTCCGCCTTTGCACATGAATCATAGGTTACATGCGCCAGTGCTGGAAATTACCGTCTGCCACAATCATTGATGCCGAAAAAAATTTCAAGTAATTGTTTAACAGTCACAAAAAAAATAGCAAGGTTCAACTTTTTCATCTTCAATTATATTTTTTGTATGAGTTTACTGTTTCTTCACGTGTACAGTACACCCAACAAAATTAAAGAACTAACGGGAAAATTCATTACTTTACAAGTATATTTTGAAAGTCACAGTGACCTTTAGACTAGGGTGGTTCGGTATGGGATACCGAACCGAAAACTATATACCAAATACCGAACTGAAAAAGTTCGGGATGAGATTTTAGCAACCGAAACCGATCCAAAATTTTGCCTTTCCCGAATTTCGGTATTCCCGAATGTTTTTCGGTTTTTCGGTACGGTTCGGGACGCAGCCAACACCAACAATCTCCAGTGGCTTCTTCACAAGCCTCCTCCTGAGAGAGATCTTAATACCATTCTCCTCCGCCACCTTCACCATTCTCAGAAAGCAACGACCACGGCGACGGCTCCGAATCCACCTAGCTCCCAACCCCACACCCACTCCTCTCCACAATCACATCTTCTCATGCCATTTCTGCACAAATCCTTTAGAACCCACAAGCAAAAATCCAATCTTTTTCTTCGAGCACGGCGGCGACTCTGAGTCCACCTCACTCCTAACCCCACACGGCCACACCCGCTCATTTTCACAATCACATGTTCTTATGCCATTTCTGCACAAATCCTTCACATGCAAAAATCCAATCTTTTTCTCTCGAGCTTCAGTGATCATCAAATGGAATTATTTGTTGTGGGTTATGAATCGTGCATGCGCAGCGCTGAGGATTCATAACCCAGAGACGAGAAAGCTTCAGAGAGGATAGAGAGAGAAATGGGTCGAGGCCAGAGACGAGAGAGCTTCTTCCTATCTCTGCTTCCCAACACGAAGACTGCTTCTCTCATCTGCCTCAAGAATCAAGATTCAAAACCAAAACAAAAGCTTTGTGCTTTTAGTTTCCAAAAAAGCTTTGTGCTTTTATCCCAAACCGACAAGGCATCACCATCACATGCCTCTTCCATATTATTTTATTTTTGTTCCTTTGCTAGTGGAACCGAAAGGCTCTGCTTTTTATTTTATTTTTTCATTGTTCTTTGCAGATGTAGCGCTGGAAAGTAGGAACCAAAAACAAGAGAAGATTTCGGGACTTCGGGAATACAGAAGATTTCGGGACTTCGGGAATACCGAAGAAAAGAAATCTGGAAACCAATTCCATACCGAATATTTCGGTATGGGATTACCAAAGTTTGGGATAGTTTCGGTTTGGGATTTTTCGGTTTGGGTTTGGGATTTTTTCGGTTTGGTTTGGGATTTTCGGGAATTTTTTCCAGCCCTACATGCAAAATTAGTGGCCGGTCGTCGAAAAAATTGATCTAACCGTTGGAAAAAGTTGACTGGTTGGAAACATTGTAGAATGGAGTGGCAATCTTGTAATTTTCTAAACTATGTGGTATTTTAGCTAAAATTTTTGTTAGAATTGATATTTAAACTTAAAAAACCCTTCCAATAATTAAAAATATTTTTGACGACAATAAGCAGAAAAAACTTGAAAATAGTTTTGGATTATAAACAGACACATTTAGTGAACCAAAATCACAAGAACTAATAATCCTTGTGAGTATTTATCAAGTATAGCAAAAAATTAACTCTTAATTTCAAAAATGTCACTTTTTATAAAAACTTTCAAATATATCCAAAATTTCACTTAAATAGATACAAATACCCTCAAATTTAACAATTAAATAAATTAAAAGTTTTTTAGCTACTATCATCTCAAGCTCCGGTTCAACTTCACATTCGCTTCTACACTCCAACACCACAACCCTATTCCCTTTGACCTCCTCATCACCGACATTAAGCACTGCCATGGTTACCGTAAGTGGGAGCAGCAGAATTTCAATCATGCCTTCAACGCCTTTTTTCTTACTAATATCTTTTTAGTTTTAAATACAAAATAGTTTTTAAAGTTAATCCACATGTCGTTATATAATTATATTTGTGAGACCCACATGGTGCCACACAATCACACTAACAGAGCAATTAATAGATTTTTCACGAAAAAACTAAATGATCATGACGAACAAATTTAAAGAAAGACTAAAATGATTCAGTATAGACAAATTCAAGAACACTACTATTGATTATCATTAATTGTTAAGGACTAGATTAAGGAGTTATGTCAATGTCACAAATCATTTTGGCTAAAAAACCTTTAATTTGTTTGATTGTTAAATTTGAGGGTATTTGTGTCTATGTAGGTGGAATTTGGATATATTTGTGCCCCCTCAGGACTTAGATTCGAGGCGTACAATCCCGGCATCAAGGCATTTTCGCATCGGCATCTTCGAGTTCTCTTGGTGTAGGACCCATTCCTTTATTCATTAAATCTTATGTTATTTCTTTTAATGTTTTAGATTAGTTGTATACTCTGAACACGTTCCTCATTTGCATATTAATTATATTTAAATTTATAATTCTTACTTATTTCTTGTTCTCATGCATTCTAATACGGCTTTGTCACCTTCGAGTGTTGGCCAGCACATGCCTACCCTGGTATTTGGGAAATATCAGGGTCGGGTGTGTCAATTAAGATGTAGCGAAATGCAAGTAAATACACACAACTTAAGCCTAGAGATCATGATCCATTGTCGTCCTTGCATTTTTGTTTAGAAAAATTTTATTGGTACCCAAATTTTCTCCCTATACACACGACCTATAACTTTTTATTTTGAAATTTCAGTGTTACCCCATATAGAAAATGAGTTTCGAAAGACAAAGGATAAAACGAAAAAGAAACCCGTTCTAATTCAGTTGAAAGCTTTCCACATAGGTATGAAATAACCGTTTGTTAGGACGACTTCTTTTACGATGTTTCTTACATTCGAGCTTGTTGGTGTTTACATAATCCATTGATAGTTGCATAAATGACTAGAATATGGTTTTCTATTGGAATGTCTCAGAGTGTAATCTTCCTATTTAATTGTGCTTTAGCTTTACTTACTTCAATAGCATATTTTTATGCAGGCCTTACAAAAAAGGGATTAGGCTAAGCGCATATTTCCTCTTTCTATTAGTGAGGTTTTCGAATTAAAGTTTACTTGTTTACTTTAAAGAGTAAGGAGAAACTTTAATTTTATGTGTAATGCTAGGGAAACCAAATTTTCAAACCAAATGATGTGGTCGTTGACGATTAGATTATTACTTTTTTGAGAAAAGATTGATAGATTTCATTAAAAGTCCAAATGGACAACAACACAGTTTCATATTAGCTTCCTCAAATAGAAGGTCTGAAATGAGGTCCAGTGGAGCCCCATCCCAGGTACAATTAATTCCACAAAGAAGGGCAGCACGCGCTAGGCGATGAGCAACACTATTGGCTTGGTGACGAACATGGGTAGAAGAAGCCTCAGTGACTGATGCTAACAAAGGTTTCGTGTCTTCGATAATATGCCCAATGACTGACATATTAGGAAAAGGATCACGAATTGCAGCAACAATCTAGAACGAATCACTTTCTAAAATAAAGTTTTGAAGTCCCTTTTGCGTCGCCAACATTACGCCATCTTTGGCTGCCATCGCTTCCTCCTGAGGGGGAGAGAAGATGTGATCAAGCTTCGTAGCAGAAGCCACCAGAAGAGAGCCCTGATCGTTTCTTATTATGATCCCAATTCCCCCTGTTTAAGATGTTCATTCCACGCCCCATCGACATTAATCTTCAGAAAGAGGCCCTTGGCCGAGCCCATTGAGTCTGCATGAGGGTAGGAGTAGTGCCATAAGTGGGGAGAATAGTCTTCTTAAACTCATGCCACCAGCATAGACATCGAGCCATCACTAAGTTCAGAGACTCTATTTTGTCATTCCACAGACGATCATTCCTAGCACTCCATATAGCCCACATAATCATAAGGCAAATCTCAAAGTTGTGCTGGATGAGCTCAGTAGCCCAATTCGATAAAACTTCTAGAAAAGAGCATGAACCCGCTCGATGGGGAATTCCTGTAAGAGTATATAACTGAATTAGTTAGATTGTGCCATCTGTCAGTAATACAGTGGCTAGATTGAAGACTATGGTTAGGACAGTTCAGATATGATAAGGTCAAGGTAGTATATAATATAGCTTGTGTAAGAAGATTAGAACAATGCAAAAATAATAAAGAAAAGAAGATTTCTTTCTCTCTCTCTCTAAGCTTTCTGATTCTTTCTCTTCTCCCTTAACTCTTCTGTCTTTCTGGATTCTATGTATGGTATGGTTAACATGGTATCAATCGCTCTCGTAAGTTTCGATCGTAAGCTTCGATCGTAAGCTTCTTCGATTCTGGTTTCTTAAGCTTCCGCTCCATTCTTTTCTTCTTTCTGAATCATTCTTTTTCTGATTTCTGGGTTCTGGTGTTTGCCCATTTCTTTGATTTTTCCTCTGAAAATCTTTGCTCACCACCTGTTTGGTTTTATTCCTCTGAGAGAGTTCTTACTATGGTTACTGCAAATCAACTGCAAATCTTGCAGTCCCCTATTACTGGGTTGATTTCGTCTGTGTCAACTTCGGTTTCGGTTAAATTGGATGATTCTAACTACCTTCAATGGCATTTTCAAATGAAGTTGATGCTTGAAGGCTATGGAATTATGGATTTTGTTGATGGAACAAATCCGTGTCCGTCTCAGTTTTCTACTGATCTGGAAGTTACTGCGTCTGGGTCTGGTATGAGAGTTGAATCGGATTCATATAAGGTTTGGAAGATGCATGATCGGGCTCTCATGCAACTTATCACTGCTACCTTGTCTCCCATGGCTATTTCTTGTGCAATTGGGAGTAGTAGTGCTAGAGATTTATGGGTTCGTCTTCAAGAACAGTTTTCTACGGTAAGCAAGACTTCTATTTTCCAGCTAAAGTCTGATCTTCAAACAATCAAGAAAGGGGCTGATTCTGTCTCCCAATATCTTCAACGCATCAAAGAAACAAGAGACTATCTAGCAGCTGCTGGTGTTACATTTGTTGATGAGGATATTGTGATCTTGGCCTTAAATGGTCTACCTGCAGAATACAATACGTTCAGATGTGTTATTCGTGGCCGAGAGAATGTGATATCGTTGAAGGAATTTCGTGCTCAGTTACTTGCTGAAGAAGCCACTATTGAAAACAATTCATGTGTTTCCTTTCCTACTGCAATGCTGGTAAAGGAGCAAGGTGTTACTTCTGGGGCTTCGTCATCTTCAGATCAAGGTTCTTTCTCAAATGGATTTCACAATTCTAATGGTTTTCATGGGAACTCTGGTCAATCTTCATTCTATAATGGGGGTCACAAGTCCAAATTTAAGGGTAAAGGCAAAGCTACGTATAATCAAGGTCAGAGATTTGGTTCGAATCAGGGACAAAAGTTTTATCATTCTAAACCTACCGTTCGGGATTTTGCTCCTAGTATACTTGGTAGTCCTTCTCAGGCTCA